CATTTTTCAGATGTGCTAGTCTTTATTTTTTATTTCTCACATTTATATGGCCACCACACAAAGCAAGTCTGGGTGGCCATCTCCATTCTGTTAGCTTTGGGTTTTAATTGTAGCACTCCAAGAAACAAAATGGGATTTGTTCTCAAAAATTACCTCAGTTGAATTTGTTTGCAAGTGTCCTGTTTTTACAAGGATAGTCTATGTGAGTTCTTTCCCCAATTTTATCCTCTGAAGAATTCTACCAGATACTTAAAGCTAGAAGACAGTGCTTAAACTAATGTTACCAGCAAGAATCTGGTCAAATGAGGTTTTGAACCTAAATACTATATTCTTTATTTTTTCTCTTGACATATGTGACTAAATCATGCTGTCTTCTGTTAATCAAAAGCAATTACGGTAGCTAAAAAAATAACTTCTGATTTGGTTTTGGGAAAGATTATCAGACGTGTATTTCCTACATATTGTTTTCAGTTAATTCTGTAGTGCAGGGGTCTCCAACCTTGGCAACTTTAAGACTTGTGGACTTCAATACTGGGAGTTGAAGTCCACAAGTCATAAAGTTGCCAAGGTTGGAGACCCCTGCTGTAGTGGAACAGTGAGCTCTAGTATAGTCTCTGGGAAAAGCATATGAATATATAGGACAGCAGAGTTAGTAGCCCTGATTAATAATGGGATGGAAAATACATCCTGGAAAAAGACATAGCAACTCATTTCTTTCTTTCTTTTTTTATTTTAACAAACTTTATTAAATTATCAAACAATTATAAAAACAATTAAAACCATAATAAGATATTCATATACATAGATCATATCATATATTTGACATTTCATTTCTATTCTTTTGCATATCTATATATATTCTCCTCCTCTACACATTATATAGTTCATAACCTAGTCCCATATTCATTCTCCTGACGGTGAAGTCATTGTTGGTATTTATATGAAATAAGCATGGAAATACACTCTCAATTATCAGCTCTTAGTTTAAAACTCATTATTAGAAAAAAATAAAATTTAATACTCATCAAAATTATCTTTATGCTTTACTAAGTATATCCTTATCCACTTTCTTTTCGCTTAATCCAATCGTACCACTTATCCCATACCTTAAAATACTTTGAGCTTTCCTTATCCTTTAATTTCAGTGTTAGTTGATCTGATTCCGCACATGCATATATTTTTTGTATTATCTGCTGGTCGGTTGGCAAATAATCGGTCTTCCAAACTTGTGCAATTGCTATTCTGGCCGCCGTAATTATATCAATTATTAAATATGTCATTTCTTTTCTGATATTTTGTTTATATATTCCTAATAAAAAAATCTCTGGGTCTAATTCAATTTCTTCTCCTGTAATTTGTGATATCCAAATTCTAATTTTCCCCCAGTATACCTTGATTTTGGGACAAAGCCACCATACGTGATAGAAAGTTCCTCGGGCCTGTTTACACTTCCAACAATTCGGGTCCAAATTAGGGTACATTTGTGCTAGTCTCGCAGGAGCAAGGTGCCACCTATACCACATTTTGTATTGGTTCTCCTTGTAAGTTGCTGATTTCGTTATTTTAATGTTGTTTTCCCAAATCCTTTCCCACTCTTCTAGTTGGATATTTTTACCTATGTTTCTAGTCCAGGCAATCATTTGTCCTTTGATTATATTCTCATTTAAGTCAATTTCTAGTAAGTATCATTTATATATTTTAGATATTAATTTCCCTTCTTTCACTTCCAGAAATTTATCTAGCCTATTAGGTTTCACCTCAATTCCTCCTTCGTCCCTGTCTTTCCTATATCTATTTTGTACTTGAAGGTAGGGCCACCAATCTAATTCCATTCCCGCGTCTCTAAGGTCCTGGCATGTTCTTAGTAGTCCATTTGAATCTAGTAGGTCCCTATACCGTATAGTTCTGTGAAAATTTATAGTATTGGGGTGCATAGCCACCTCATTTCAGAATTTCAGAAATGAGCAACTCATTTCTATTTTGTTGCCAAGCTTGATTCAAAGGGGCGGGGGAAGGTACTTTTTGTAGTAAACATTCAATTTTTGAATATTGATTTGTTTTGTCTATTTGGTGTTCTCACATTTAGAAAAATAAACATATTTCTTTGTGTCATCCGAAAGGGCTGTTTTTAATGTTTAAAATAATACAGTGGAGCTGAGATTAGGTGGGAAAGCAAATTGGTAAGGGTAATGTAAAATTTAAAATGTTAGCACTTTTTCTCTTTTTTATCAAAATCTTATTATTTGGATAAGAAGTGAATTGCTTTACATATATATGAGTTTCCATGATAACAAATAATAATAATACAGGAGCTATTATAAGCACTAAAGGCAACCACTAGTTCCAGTGAATTCTTGATGCTAGGCAGTTAGGTATAATAGCATTTTTTCCCCTTCTGTTCCATTTTATCTGATTGTCAGAGGCTTCCTGGGCAATTCCATGCAATTCACTTGCAAAATTTTTGAGAAGTGGTTTGCTGATGCCTCCTTCCTAAGTCTGAGACAAAGTGACTAGCTCAACATCACCCAGCTGACTTTGTTCCTAAGGCAGAACTAGAACTCACAGACTCCCAGTTTTTAGCTGGGTACTTTAACCACTACCCCAAACTGATTCTCATAAAAGCATATAGCCATAGCTAAAAGTCTGTATCACCATATGTGTTAGCATATTTATCACGTATTTTCACTGAATGGAGCTTATGGTATAATTTTACCATTTTTGTTCTCCCACCTCTTCCAATTTTCAAATGAAAGTAGAGCTGTACACTAGGAGTGTAGAGTTGCAAAGTCATCCAATCATTGTGTTAATATTAAATTGCCCAATTTGTACTTGCATACCCTTTGAAATGTGCTTGTATGCCAAAATCTTCACTTTCAAAAAGATTGAAAAAAATGCACATACACATTTTTGTATCATGCAAAACTATTGTTTTAAGAAAACTGGCTTGCTATGTGCTCACTAGATAGATGCACATAAACACTATTCCTGGCTGTTTCCATGAGGAATTCACAAACTGATGTGAATAGAGATGAGAGAATGAGTAACCAATGTGAAAAGAGTCACTTGAGCCTAATCCATACACAGAGAGACACTGACATACTTTAGGGCTTAAAAGGATAAAAGTTGATGATTGCCTGTAAATCACTCTCGTTTGATTAGGGCATGGGTGTCAAACTTGCAGCCCGGAGGCTGGATGTGTCATGCGCTGGCCACGCCCATCCCCATTTTAGTGAAGAGGAAAGTCACAATACATCACATAATGACAACGTGACAACGCAAGTTTGACAACACTGGAATAGGGCAAGGATTTTTCAAGATATGTTTTAAGAGTTATGATTCAGGTTTTCAATATTGAACAACTATGATTATCTAAGGGAAGCACCTCTTTAAGATAATAGTCTGAAATGCAATAATTGAAAGCATGTCATATGGTTCCAAAGTATTTCTCATAGATTTTCTCCGTAGTGCTTGAAATAATTTATATCGCTTCAAGTACATATATATTATCTGACACAGGTGCCTACTGCAAGGCTTATTTTAAACAGTAGCCTCCCAGCTGTAGGAGGCTGAGTTATAGCCATTGACTCATGGTTAAACTGTAATATCAAACAGAAATGCTTAATTTATCGTTTCAGTACCACAGGCATCATTTCAGTGTTCTTAAATCATAATTTAGCTAGCCAGCATTCAGATCCTGAATATTTCTAACTATTTGAAAATTATATTTTTCAAAAAATCAAATTCACTTTACAAATCAAATTAGTTTGTGACAGCCACAATACAGTAAATTACCTAATAATAGAACTGTTCTGTATATCTATATATCATTATCCAATCTCTTCTTTAAAACTTCCAGTGTTGGAGCATTTACAACTTCTGGAGGCAAGTTGTTCCACTGATTAATTGTTCTAACTGTCAGGAAATTTCTTCTTCATTCTAGGTTGCTTCTCTCCTTGATTAGTTTCCACCCATTGCTTCTTGTCCTGCCCTCAGGGGCTTTGGAGAATAGCTTGACTCCCTCTTCTTTGTGGCAGCCCCTGAGATAGTGGAACACTGCTATCATGTCTCCCCTCGTCCTTCTTTTCATCAAGCTAGACATACCCAGTTCCAGCAACTGTTCTTTATATGTTTTAGCCTCCAGTCCCCTAATCATCTTTATTGCTCTTCTATGCACTCTAGAGTCTCATATGAGGAAAAAGGCAGCTATTTTCCCATCTTTTCATTTTGCTGACTTTCAGCATTTGTCTCTAACTCCTAAAAGAAAAAAGAAACAATACTGTATTCTGGTGTTTAGCTGTGTTAAGTGGAGCTTTTGAAGCACTTCATTTGAACTTGAAACTTAAAAATATAATTATTAATTTAGCCCTGCTCTGTAGAGAGTATTTAGATGTTTAAGAGAGGTGTCTAATATAGCATGTTTTTTTAACTGTGTGCTATTCAAAGAACATTTTCCACATTGCTTTACTACTTAGAAATTCCTGTATAATTCCTATAGACATTCATCAGATTTAAAAAATATCTGGGGCATAAACAAAAATGTACAGGACAGTCATGGCCCTTTCAGTTGCCCATATATCAGTCTTCTCAAATTTGGACACACTCTAGAGACCTCCTAAACTTACTCAGCCAATATGGTCACTGCTGAGAAGTCTAAGACCTTGAATACTATATATCTGAAGAACACCCAGTTTAGGAAATACTACCAAACCCTAAAAACTACTTTCCTAGAACACATCCATAATTTCTGTGCATTGGTGCAGTTTTTGGAACAGGTTTTTAAACAGTGGAAAAAACATGTTTTTCGTGGATCTTTTTTGAGACCATCGTCACATAATGTTATACAATAAGGACAGTTGTAAGTAATAAGGCGGAGAAAATTGAGAACCTGTTCTTTTAGAGCAGTTATACAGGTTTTTGGGGTCTGCTCATTTCACATCATCCTTCAGAGGTGAGCTTTGTGAGGTCATAATCTCATTTGACATCAGAATCCCATGAACTCCTGTATAGCAGGATAAATCAGGAAGAGACATAGAGCTGCCAGAGGGAAGTCTGTATTTAAACACAGCTCCCTTTGATTGTTGCAAATGGAGAGAGGAACATGATGAAATTTCTAAGGTGACTAGCCGCATAGACTCCCAAACTGAGTAATAGAATCTATATGTTTTAAACAAAATTTGAAGTAAGCACAAGGGTTTGTTTGAATACATCTTTACTTTTTAAGCAATATTGTAAAATATTTATTAAAGAGTATTTTTGTTTCCCTATGGGTACAATAGTAAATTTGGCTTTTAAATTGCAGATTATAAAAATGCAATGTATGCTTTCCAATAGGTGGTATCTGAGAAACTTTATAAGGACATCATTTCTTCATTGCTAATAATGGCTGAAGAACAATGTAATATTGTAGGCATTTAAGATGTATAGTCAGATTACTAAATGCACAGTTAAAAATTGCAGGACTAGCATTACATTCTTATTTTAAAAAATCTATTGGGATACTACTGCTGTGTTTTTAATAATCGCATATATTTTAAGACTTGACTAATATTTTAAAATAGTGGCTTATTTTTAATATCAATGTTCATCATTTTTAACAAGCTGGTTTTTCTTTCTGAGTTGGCAAGATGGATGTCTTTGGCAAACCATAACATGATTTTCCAGGTTCTCTGTGGACTAGAGTAAAGGGAAGGATGTTTTGGGACATCCATGGGGCAGAGTGGCGGGGGTGGAGTCCACATTAAAATGGGGGTGCAACCAGGAGTTTGAAGTCCTACAGTATCGTACATATTGCATGCACATAAAAATGGAGGGCCTTTGATTGGCCAGCCAGTCCTATATTTGGATGTCATTCTCTCTCCCCCTCCTCCCCCACAAACACATTGTGGTGTATTTCATTTACAGAAAAGACTGAATCCCAACAGAAACTTATGCTGAGAGGATATTTTTGTCAGTTCAGTCAAGAACACTTATATTGTTGTAGAACAGGGGTGTCAAACTGGATTTCTTCGATGGCCGGATCAGCATTGTAGTTCTCCTCTGTAGGCTGGTCGGGCGGGGGTGGTGGTGGTGGAGAGATGGGATGGATGCCTCCTGCAGCACCCTGCCAGCCAAAACGGCGCCATGAGAGGCTCCCTGTGCCCTTTTTGAGCCTGGATGGCCTCCAGCACCCTGCCGGCCAAAACGGGGTGCCTGGGGGGCTCCCACGGCCGCCCCACACCCCGTTTTGGCTGCCAGAGGCACCATAGTCCACTCCTTTGCTATTTCCAGGCCGGCCCCATAGGCCAGATTTAAGCACCCCGTTGGCCAGATCCGGCCTGCAGGCCTTGAGTTTGACACCCCTGTTCTAGAACATTCACCAGAACATTTTTTGCAGAAGATTTTCAAGAGGCTAAAGGAAGACTCAGTGTAGAAAATCATTGGCCTTGAAAGATATACTTAGAAGCCATTACAAAAGTTAAAAAGACAGAAGCATTTGTTGAGACAGAGGAAAGAAAAGAATATTAGGAAGAGACCTAGGCAGGTTCTTCCCTGACTCTCTGTGATATAAGAGAGGAAGGAGGAAAAAAACAATAATGCTTGCAATTAATACAGTCTATCTCAATGAACCTTACTTCTTGTAGAGTCTGTTTCTTCATCTGGACAACCTCAAACAATTGACAGAAAAGCATCATTTCCTTCCTCCAGTAAAGAAATGCATGTAACATTTTTCTGTTCAAGCCAATGCATTTTAGATTGCAATATAAATATATGTCTTCCAGAGATTTTTGATCTCAGGTGCCCTCATCCCTGATAATTGGCCCTTCTAACCGTGGCTTAACAGGGGCATGATGGCTCAGCAGTTAAAGATGCTGAGCTTGTCAGCTGCAGCTGACAGCCTGGGTTTGAGACCTGAGTGCCGTGCGATGGGATGAGCTCTCCTTACTTGCCCAGTTCCTGCTCACCTAGCAGTTCGAAAGCATGCAACTGTGAGTAGATAAATAGGTACCACTTCAGTGGGAAGGTATAACTGTGTTCTGTGCACCTTGACATATAGCCGGTCCTGCCACATGACCATGGAAATGTCTTCGGACAACACTGGCTCCTTTGGCTAAGAAACGGAGATGAGCACCGCCCCCTTGAGTTCGGACATGACTGGACAGGGAAAACATTTACCTTTAACTTTGGCTTATGGGAATGGAAGGATAGTAGGTTTTCCACTCCCACTGTGAAATATATCAGTTTCTTTCCATTGTGTTTATAGTGGGAACAACAAATATTAGAAACAAAATTGTCCCATCACTGCTTATTATTTAAAGATACCTTAAGTAATAAAGCCTTGTAGCATTTTTTGGAAATAATTTGATTTGGATGGACAGCTAATGGGTGACACAAAATAGCTAATATTATTGAATCTTAACACATAATGATATTCCTGTAGTTCTCATTAAGCAACCACTGTTGGGACCAGCAATTCAACCATTAAATGGAGCAGTTGCTAAGTGAAGCCACAGCTATGCTTATGATCTTATTTCAGTTTTCTTGTGCTTTACAAACCTGTAAAAATAAGGATTGATTCTAAAGGGGTTTTTTTCACCATTGTTGTAACTGCATACAGTTAGTAAATGAGGCAGTCATTAAATGAGGACTGTCAGTAGTCAGAAAGGCATTTTCTGGCAGACTAAAAGAATGCAGTTACCCTTTGAGATTCATGGAACTGTTATAGCTGGGCATTTTTATAGCTCAAAAGCCTGGATATTTGTTCTGGTCAGAGAAAGTACTGGTAATTGAAGTTTAGCGCAAGCACTGATGCTGGTATATAGCATTCTAAAACTCTGTTTTTCAAAGATGAATTGATAGGATGCAGATGCTAAATCCTTCTAATGCAAAAAATTCAAAGATGCCTCGGGTTGAAAGCTTAACTACTGAAAGTGCAAGTTACATATTTGTTGCTGTAGAATCGATTTAGTGAAATTGAAAAACTTTTACCGATACTAATAGTAAAACTGATGGCTCACTTGGTAAAAAAAACAAACAAGTTGAGCTAGGCAGTAACACAATGTGTTGTTGTAGTAGTAGTAGTAGTAGTAGTAGTACTACTACTACTACTACTACTACTACTACTACTAATAATAATAATAATAATAATAATAATAATAATAATAATAATAATAATAATTTTATTATTTCTATACCGCCCTTCTCCCGAAGGACTCAGGGCGGTGTACAGCCTATTAAAAACACAGAAATATACAGACATCAATTAAAAATAATTAAAATTATTAAATAATTTCGGCCCAAATTAAAACCCAAAACCCAATAAAGGAGAATATCTGTAGCTCAGGGTGGAAATGAGGGGTCTTGTATTATGGACGTTTTATTATTACTTTTTAAATTGTTACCTGCCAAGAATTCATTGAAAGTAGCAGGCTCAAATCAAAAAATCAAACCTCAAGGAAAAGTAATATTTAGAAGAGGAAAAACTTGAAAAAATTAATAGCTCACTAGGGAATTTATATCCAACATATAGTCTCCTGTATTGCATAGTTACAAGTTTGGAAAACCCAGAAAACGAATTAACTAGGGACTACAAGCTTCTCCTGTGCACTGCTTGGAGAGTCCAAGCATGGGATTCAGTTCATCTTATTGGCCAGAATTAACTAGAGATTGCAAGCTTTTAAGCAATTTAGGCTTCTTGCTGATAGAATCTGTGAGAGAGCAAATGGATGGAAGGGAAGATCACTGTGCTTGGCTGCTTTTGAACAGCACAAGGCGTGCAGTATCTTTATGTCCTCCTTGCCAAATTCCTGGATGGGTTCCTATTTGATGCAAACCTGTATATATTAGAATTAGACCTCTCCTTGAAGAAGACAATATAAGTTCACAAGAGCAATCTCCAAAAACATTTTGTCCTTTCTTTTCTTACCTTCCTAGTAAGAATCTTGCATTATAAAGTGATTCTTTGCTAAACAAGTTCATTGAAAGTTCAAGTAGACAGACAAACTTGTACGGAAATAACAATGACATCACAGGGGTCTGATATCTAAGCATATATTGTTACCAATTTCAACTAAAACTCTTAACTCCTGGGGACCCTTTCTTTCAGGCTTAAGCTCAAAGGCACAACCATGAAAGATCCAAGTCGTAGGAGTACTAGTCCAAGCATTATCAGTGAAGATATGATCATGAATGGTCACTCTCATGAAGATGATAATCCATTTGCAGAATATATGTGGATGGAAAATGAAGAGGAATTCAACAGGCAGGTAAGTGAGAGGATACATTGTCTCCTGTGTTTTTTCTTCCGTATTATTGCAAAGATCCCACTTTTTTTCTGTTAGCCTAGTATTCTTCCAGTGTTTTCAGAATACTTTTCAATATGCTGACTCTGTAAACTGCTTAGAAAGGGCTGTAAAGCACTGTAAGTGGTATATGTCTAAGTGCTATTGCTATATGTCTACAGAAAAAGAAGCTAAGAGAACACCAATGGGTGGGAGGGGGAAGGGATACTTTGGGTGACAGAGGAAGTAAAGGAAGAGCCTTGCAGGGCTCAGACCCAATGTTGTGGCAGTGTGGAAGAAGCAGGTATCTCAACTTCCTTTTCCTTTTCTGCATTTGCTCTCAGTGGCTGCAGCTTGTGGGAGCTCAGCACCTGAGCTCTCCTAATGTTGGGGAGGATCCATCTGAGAGGTTTTTCCTCAGGGCTCCGACAGTTCCACTCAGGTCCCTTGATAACAGATTTCCTTCTGTCATTCCAATTAAAGATTGAAGAGGAATTGTGGGAAGAAGAATTTATAGAACGTTGCTTCCAAGAAATGCTGGAAGAAGAGGAAGAGCACGAATGGTTCATTCCAGCAAGAGATCTTCCGCAAACGATGGATCAAATTCAAGACCAGTTTAATGATCTTGTTATCAGTGACAGTTCGTCACTGGAAGATCTGGTGGTAAGCATCCAATTTTAAAAATAGAATTATTTTAATCAAGCACCTTTCTTCAAATGTTACCAGTATACTTTGTCAGCTGTCTCACTCAGAAGCTAGCTGAGATGTGGCCTTCTGACAACAGTCAGTTGTGTACCCAGAACAAGTGTACCATCTGATTCTCCTCCTAATCTTTTCATATAGTCTGATTGCAAGTATTTATTTTTGTCAAATGCACAGGTGTGCATTGGGAGAGAAGAATACACTGAACCATTTGGGAGGGTAAAGATTAGATGTGTGACTAAGTGATTAGGAGTTTAATTCATGAAGGGTTCAGAGGTCTCCCTATTTTTTAACTTTTCTCTCTGCATTTGATACCATTTGAAGGTCTGGTAGGTGAGAGAGCCTTGAAGCATTTTTTACTAGCATTTGCCATACAATTAAGTTTACTGGCCATGGTACTGTTTTCTAATAGTGTAGGCTTTAATTACTTTTTAATTAAAAGGGTAAAATTAGGCTCATGAAAATGAGTATAGTTCGTAAAATATAACTAGAACATTAAACATTTAAATATTTCCATGATTTTTAAGCCAACTTGTGGTTACTTTGATGTCACAAATGATGTAACTTATTTAAATAGAGGAACCTGTTGAGCTCATATTCAGCATGCATATATTCCCAAAGTTACAATATCGGTAACAATATTTGTATTTACTGGGTTTGATAAATTAAATTTTACATAAATTTGCTAATAAATAAAGCTCCTATTCTGAAGAAAATGCATTTTGCTTTTAAATGATTCCTATACAGGCAGGCAGTGTCTTGAAGGAGGTGTGCCAAATTGGCACCCACTGTCCATGTTTTTTGAGAGCACTTTTTTTTTTTTTTCAAAATCCTGGTACATTTTTTAGCTATCCAACTAATTAAAATCCTACTGTGGTGAGAAAGTTGGTGAATCCTTGGGTACCATCCATAATCCTACCGTCTTATTAATAGATAAAGAGGTTATGGTTAAATAAACAATATTCCAAATGATATTCTGTGTTGTGTCTTTATTAGACACATTCAGACAACATTGCTTGTCTTTGTTGGAAAAAGTATGTGAAATCTGTGTTAAGAGGCTAATTGAGTCAGATGTTCCAGTTAATGAGAGAGCAATCAGAGTTTGAGAGGCGCTCTATATGTTTTTTAATTTTGCTTCATTTAAAACATCCAAGAAGGAAAGTAAGAGAAAAAATTATTTTAAAATAACAAGAGTAAAAATTGATTACAACAAGTTAAGTAATTTATATGAGACTTTGTTATGTGTATGTACACACACACAGGTTTCAATAAAAGATAACCATATTTCATTGTAATTGTCCATGCATAATCTATGTCAATAGCCAACTCATTTTTAGGATGCATGTAACATGTTATCTTCAGGCTACTGGGTAATTCATAAATTTGTCTTAAATTTAAATTTAGTTTGAAGAACTAACCTCTTGGGAATAATAAGGACATGGAGAATTCATTTCCATTGTTCATCTGTCAGTTTCCTTGAGGTCAGTATGTAGTTCAAAAGAATGTTTGCATCTAAAAATTATAAACCTTGTTTCAAAGTCAAAATATATGTAAGTTATTTCTTCCAAGAAGATAAAAGCATGTTTTCATGAAGTATTAGTAGAAGTGCATCATTATGATTTATTCCTCATCTCTGAATCTCATATTTAAGTCATTATGATTTTCATGTATGTTCTGAATTTATCAGTTATTTAGGTATTCTTATTCCATCGGGTATTTTCTCATATAATTATACTGAATATGAGTAAGAGATATATAGAGGTTTCTTTGACATTGATAGATGGGAATCATTTCTGTAAAGGTTACCCTTTGGGATAGGATAAAGACTTAAAAAGAAGGGTTTTTTAAAAATATTTTGCATGGAATTCCTTTATATGTAAAATAATATTTTTTAAGAACTCAGTTCACTATTTTGTAAACATACAAGTATGTCTATAACAGAATGTGTGAAGCAAAATGAATGTTGCATTCAGGAATGGCTGAGTCTTGACCTTTAACCCAACTGAAATGTTGAAATGCTGAAAAGAGCAGTTTATGCTAGACAGCCCACAAATATTGAATTGAAATGGTTGTAAAAAAGGGATGGGCCAAAATTCTTCCAAGCCAATTTGAAGTATTGATCAACAAGCATTGAAACCATTTGATTGAATCAATTTCTGCTAAAGAAGGTTCTACTATTACTATATTACTAAAGTATCACATACTTTTTCCAGCAAAGGAAAGTAAATGTTGGGTCAGACAGTTGAGTAAAGACATGACAGAATGCAGTGTTTTAACCAGATTCTCTTTATCTATTAATAGGTTTTCAGTGAAGCTCAGATCCCGTTGTAAGTCTGCAGGGTTACAAATAGTTCTAAAGATCACATAAACTCTCCCTTACAATATAGTAGATACAATATCATAGTCTGATGATGTTCTCATTTGGTAGGTATTCTTAAAATTCTATTGCTTTGGTTGTAATTAAAAAAGCTTAGAATTTTTTAATAAGATGAACTACTTTTTTAGCTAAAATTTCAGCCTGTTATCACTTACAGCGATATTATTTTTAAAAACTTGATAAATTCAAAATTCAAAACCCAGCCCAGTGCAGACGGGACAATTTATTGCACTTTAGATGTTTGCATTGATACATTGAAATATTACCCTTCCTCTGTGTGTGAATTTTTGCCTCGGCTAGACCTGCCAATTGAACACTTAATATGGATGAGCAGTTTTGTTGTGTGAATACCAAATTTATTGAACCAATCCAGTTGCTCTTATCATAGGTAAATTACCTGTCTTTTTAATACTCTGACTGAGAGTAACTTAGAGCAGTTTTTTTTAATATAGCACCTTTAAAGTTCCATTTTTCGGTCTCAATACAGACTAAGTTCTTTCGTAATTTCCTGTAACTGCGTATTAAGCTCATCCATTCTGCTCTGAATTTACAAGTTGGGTTGTATCTTATAAGGCACAACATCGTTTCATAAGAGCAGGATTTGTGTATCGTAAGAAAAATATATGAAGGTCCCTGCTGTATCAGGGTCTGCATCATATAGTGGCCATACACACGAAACCAGAAATGTGGATAGGAAGTTAATAGATTTAAAATCTTAGGACTTTGCCAGATCTCACAAGATTGATTTTGCATATTCTGGGTGAGAATGCCAAAGTCTTATAAAATGTCAAATGATATTACCAAATTTTCTAAAATTGCAATACTTTATTTATTTATATTGGATACCTGCACCATAGATGAGCTAGAGTACCTTTGTGGAGCATAATCATCTCTGGCCCACAAATTGAGAACTGGTAATAGCTTGGTATCCTTTTAAGACTAAATTGGGACTCCATTTGATAACAGGAAATTCCAGAGTTTATATATGCATTGGGCGAAATATTTCACATGACCTCAACTTCTAGTATTGTAAATAAAAAGAATTGGATCTGTATTTTCTGCATCATGGATGATGTTATACAACTTTTATCATGTCTTTCCTTATTTACCTTCAGTCCAAGTTAAAAAGCCCTAAAGTAGTCATTCCTCATAAGGAGCCTATTTCAACGCCCTTATAATTATGGTTGCCCGTTTATATACTTATTATTTTGCACCTTTTCAAGGTATATCCCTTGTGTGCATAGTATTCCAAACTCAATTTTAGACAGATAGATAAATAGCATTACTTTTTTTTTTTTTTTGACATTTTCAGTTCCTTTCTTAAATCTGGACATGAGATTTGTCATTTTCAACAAGAAATGCTCTCTGAGTTTTGTTGAGTGTTGTGCACCCCGACGCCATCATTCTTTTCTGATCACTCAAAGCAACCTCAACTCCCATTCATGAAGGTTACATTTGGATTTTTTATACGCATTACTTTGTGCTTGCTCGTATTGATTTGCATTTGCCATTTTGAGGCCTATTTACTCAGTTTGGAGAGAGGTCCTTTCGGAGCTCTTCCCAATATCTTCATTATCAAAATGCACATCTTTATGTTATTAGCATATTGGATCACCTTACTCCTTAACTTCAATTTATTTATAAACTAATTAAAAACACTGATCCTGCCACCAGTCCCTGGGATTTTCACTTTGAACTATTGTCTACTTGTCCTCTTCTTTTTCTTTTCTTAAGCCAATTTCCAACCCCTAAGAACATAAGCCTTTTTCATCCCACGGCTTACAATTTTGCTCAAGAACCTCTGGTAAGGGACATTATCAAAGGTGCATACTGTGTCTGATGGATTTCCTCCTCTACATTTTTGTTAATACTGTCAAAACAAGTCTAGAAAATAAGTCTAGGAAGAGCAATATGTGATCCTCTAGATCAGGGGTGTCAAACTCGTGTCACGTCATATGACTTATTACTTTTTTTCCCCTTTGCTAAACCGGGAGTGGTTGTGGCCAGCACATGACGAATCCAGCCTGCAGGCCACGAGTTCGACACTTCTGCTCTAGTTGCTGCTGCTGTACTACAAATTTGTCTTACAATAGCCAGTGGAGAAAGATGCTGAAAACTACAATTTAACCTGATCTGGAGAGCCACATGTTGTTCACTGATAAGTTATTGTTGTGCAAGTTGGTTTAGCTCTATTAAAGGAGGAGATTGAGATCCTGGATTGGGTTCTATCAGTCAACCCAGGGGATCCTGATCTGTCTGGCATGTAAGCTGACTCGAAGCTGTTTCCTTGGCAAGAGTATCTTGCTTTCTCCACTGAGGTCTATTTTCAGGAGTGTTTTCACTGCAAAGAACTCCTGTTAAACTTGGTGCAAATATGTTCAAAACAAAACCTTAGGCTCCACAGTCTAAGCTTTTAAAATCTCTCTCTTCCAGGTCAAGAGTAATCTGAATCCCAATGCAAAGGAGTTTGTTCCTGGGGTGAAGTACTAAATATATGAGTAGACTGGGCCCTCTTTTGGTGGATGTAGCACAATTTCCACACTGTGAAGCCAGTATTAGAAGATTTAATTGTTAAAACGCTCTCTCTTCTTGTCACTGTGTTACACTTACGCATTGCCAAAGTTTTGTTAGTCTTGCATGCTTAATAAAAGTGCTGAGACTGTTATTAAGTCAACTGCTGTCAGAGGTTAATGAATTGGAAAAGTCTAATTGGATCCAGGCTTTTTGTGAGGGAGACAATAAGGAAGGAAGCACCAGTCATGTTGAGAAAAGTACCAAGTTTCTGAGAAACTCTAGCAATTCTGTTTTTAGAAGGATTCAGACTTTGATAAAGAGTGGTCTGTTTTAATTAAAACTTATGGCGGTGTTGATATGCACCCAATAATGCCTTAATGTGAAAATAAAAGCAAGGTTTATCTGATTATGCAGATTAGCTGAATTTCAATACTGCTATTAATTCCTCCCATTATCAAGCAAAACTTTACTTCATGCTGTTCTTTTTTGAGGAAAGTGTGAATTGTAAAAATACCTGAATCACTTTTACAGGCCTGTATAGAATCCTTTCTCTTGGCTACAGATCTGGTTGGGGGGAGGTGGGAGAGAAAATTTGGCAATTGAGATTATATTTGCAGCAAGTTATCATGTTGGAATGTTTGTCCCACTTCTGAGTTTATATTTAACGTGATGTGAAGTTATACATCACAGATTCTTCCAGGAATCCAGAAACATGGCACTGCCTCTGTAAAATTTTACAATCTTAAAAATTGGATTTAATTGTAAAATTTAGCATTAGTGATTTGAGTGGTGCTTTTCCCTTGCTTTGTTTAATCATCACTACACAATAGTCTACAGCACAACTTTTTTTTTTTAAACACCTAGTACAGTTTTGGCTTCTTAAACTTCATATTTGGGTAGCTTACGCTGCCTTATGTGTTCAGTGTGAATAGTGTTTAAGTTGAAAATATTGTAAAAAAATTATATTTTTTCAAAAATATTTAAAAAAAAATAAATAACAGTAGAAATGACAAAATGAGTGTTCATCTTATTTGGAGCTTGTGAGAATGCCTTCATTGTCCTGGTCACACATTACATTTACAACAACCATTGTAAACACAGTGTCTGAGATAAAAGCTGGAAATAATGAAAAATTCTTTGCAATTCTCAGAAATAATCCAAATGACATTCTTGTCAGAGAAAGAGAACCTCTATAAAAGAAGCAAATTCAAGTAGGTGTAAATGTGTATTCATTTTGTCCCTTTATTTAATATCCTGGTTTGTCTTTATACAATACTAAATGCCATAAATACAGAATCTTTTTAAATGAAATTGTGACCCTTTGAGATTGAAAGTAGCTATAATCTTGCAAGCTGCCAATGAAACAATAAGATTGGTGGTGCAGGCATTCAAGACTACATGTAGAATATCAGGAATGTTTGCTGTAAAAAAAAGATGCCAGCATTTCAAATAGACAATCACAAAAGCCAATTAGATGATATATAAAAACCTGACCAAAGCTTATAGTAGTTGCGCTGGTGTGTAAATTCCTCAACATTGCTGCTCCTTTTCTACATGTGGTAGCTTGTGTTTAGTACCCTTGCTTAATGATTGTTAGGAATGTTCAGAATATTTCAAGAACAGGAGAGCAACTTCAGGTAGTCCAGACCCAAAATTGTGTAGTTTGGAATATATTAGCCTGTTCATGAAACAGGACAAGACTGGTTTGCTTCAGAAAGAGAGTTCTGGGCAAAAGTGGTTTTGGGAAAAATGAACTGAAAAAATCCAGGACATAAGTGGTGGCTTAATGGTGAATTTTAAAAATAGCAGTTATAATCAACAAATGAAGATACAGGAAATCCTCAACCTACAAACACAATTGGGCCCAAAAATTATGTTGCCACATTTCTTAAGTGAATCATTGCAGTTCTTAAATTAGTAATCCGGTTGTTAAGTGAATCTGGTTTCTCCATTGACTTTGCTTGTCAGAAGTTTGCAAAAGGTGATCACATAACCCAGGAACACTGCAACTGTCATAAATGTGAGTCAGTTGTCAAGCATCTGAATGTAAATCACATGGCCATGGGGATGCTGCAATGGTCAAAGTGTGAAAAATGGTCATAAGTCACTTTTTTCAGTGCCATTGTAACTTCAAACGGCCACTAAGTGAACTGTGGTAAGTCGAAGACTACCTGTACTGTATTTTAATAATGTAAGTCACTGTTCTCTAATGTGCTGCACTTCATATGTTCTGAATTATAATTCCCTTCATGTACTACAGCACATTCTCAGTAGTCATGCAATTGCAGGTAGCTGTAGTCCAAACAATGGGGAACATCAGCTTAAAGAGGACTGACCTTAAAACAATCACATTGAGAAGCCATATAAGATGTGTTATTTTATTTTTTTAGTACTTTTTTTAGTACTTGACAAGTATACAAAAAAATACTTGAATAGGTATGGTATGGGGTTTGGGCCTCTTCACATGTAATTGAATCTCAATCCAAGCTACCTTCCCACCATGTTAATGGAGAAAGATGCTAAAAGTTTAATTTGACAACAGGTCAAGTTTCCCATTTCTTTTTTTTTAAACTACTAAACTACCAGTTCAGATTTCTTAAAATTTCCTCTTAGGTTTCAGCCTTTACTGGTTGTCTCTATAAGACCATAAATGTTAATGATTGTAAAAATATGAATGATCTTGGGTGTTTGCATCATTTCGTGTGTGTGTGTGTACATACATACATACATACATACATACATACATACATACATAATTTGATTCCTGGAATCACATCTAATATATGTACTTGTGAAGAAAATCTTGATAAGAGTGTTCTTCAGATTATCTACCACATATTAATATTTTAACAAGTTTGTTCTGACTTACCAAAGCAAAACTACTGCTTAACCTCAATTTTTGATTCCGAATGTTACGGGCAATGTTTTAGTTCAGCTATTACCCCAAACAGTAGGGAAAATGATATTTATGGCACAGTCCCAACAATTGATCTAATTTGCTCCATTACACAATTGAAAGAAATTGACAGAAACAACCAATGACATAAATATATATTATTGTATTTCACAGACATTACACTTTTAGGGACATTGTTGTCCCCACACTCCCCCCTCCCCTCAAAAAAACTGGTCAGTAAAATCAAGGTTTTACGTGCATGTAAGTATGAATGAATGTCACATAATTAGACTGACTGCAGTAATTTGACCTTGGATCACACATGATCAGATCTGGACTGTTAAGATCTGGATGGGAACAAATTATATTTTGTGTATCTTTTTCATCTGCCACCTGCTGGATTGTGTGGCCCACATCTGGCAGTCTTTAAATAAATGTCTTCCAACATCAAGAAAGTACCTGCTTTCCTTCTAAACTCACACTGGATACTTACAAATCAAAACGAACAAAATTATTACCTCTGAGTTAGTGTGTTTCAACAGTGCTTAGCTGAACTTTTAAATCAAGTTTTCCACTTTTATTTCCACTTTTATAAAATCAACTGTTATTCAAGAATAAAGGTTCTTGAATAGCCACACAAATGTCCTCTGATGTGTTTCAGTCATTAATCTTGACTGATCTGAGACATTTTCACTGGAATAATTTAAATACAGCTAAATGTTTCTGCAGTCTCTGTTGTTCACTTTTCATTATACTATTTTAGTTCACTATGAAGAACCCCTTCAAACTATGATACTATGAAGAACCCTTTCAAACCTTGGTACACATCCCTGATTCATCCACTGTATTGATTACTTGTTCTGATATAGCAGGATCTTTCTTTGTTCTTGACTTAAAACCTTTGAAAACAGGGCACACTGGTACATACTTTAACCAGTGAGTCCTTTTAATCAGACCCATCCCAAAGGGAAAATCGTAACTCTTCAGTTTTGCACATTCGTCACTGTTGGTATGTGCTCCAGCTTTCCACTGTACTAAGCCACGTTCCTTTTGAGTCCCTAGAAAAGAGAATGTGTATTTCAAATCAGGTGGTTTTGCAAGAAAGGTTTCAGTGATCTAATTTCTTCACAAAAGAAAGCTGTGCTAGTAACATGTAGAGAGTTACGCCATGAGATTAAAGAAATGTAAAAATTGAAATAATAAACTTTATGAGAAGAGCATGGTGGATTTTCCTATGATGGGATCAACAGTATTAAAAGGAACAAGTGTCTGCTTTCTGCATCCCATCCCATAAATAAATCAATTGGGTACTGGTAGAAAACACATAATTTGTTTTCAATATGGTTTCATTACCTAATGAAGAACTATGTAGGAGGTGGGAAGTTCCTATCCGAAATTCCAGGGGGATAGTTATGATATCACAAAAAACAACTTCCAGCCCCTTAACATTTAGCATATTATGGCGTAGACTAAAAAGCAACTAGTTCTTTAAAATCCTTGCCATAATAAATGTTCTAGTCTCTTATGATACTACGAGGTAGTTACAAAATTAAAAGGCCAATGTTATGAGACAGGACTGTAAGAATCAAATTTTATGATAATATTCACTACATCTGTCAGGCTACAGATTTAGAAGGTTAAAATGTTGAGAGTCATCTACCTCCTAATCTGGGAAAGCAGAAACAAAACAGAAATGGTTATAAATACAATATTTGTACATCTAATTCTATATTTTCTGCCACTGCTATGTATGAGGTACTATCTAGCGTAGTAACAACACTAATGCAAGTAACCAGATAGCACCAAATGATCAAGTATAGCTCACAGTGATCAAAATACTGTATATATTATTTTGGATGAATTTTGGGGGTTACTTAAATCTATCCTTTTGAAATACAGGCTAAACACTTCAAAATAATACAATGAAACAGGTGTACCTGGAACAGTGTTGTCCAATATAAATGCAATGCTGCCCCCAACAAACATTTCTGTGGTTAAAAGCACTCTTAATATCTGGTCCACTTCAGCAATGCCTACAAACAGTAATAATTTATAGTCCAAAATATGATCAAAATATGCTTGATATACTTCTTCATTTCTCAAATGTATCTTTGTTATATCCCTCACTCTATTCCCTTTTAGAGTAGGAAATGCTATATAAAGCACAGAAAAGAAAAGGTAAGCAATGCAAGATATAAGTGACAGGAAAAGTAAGGGAAATATACAGTAGCTAAATCAGGCTTAGCCAAACACCCTTCCCTACA